CCGGTTGTTAGTAAACTTCGCCAAAAGCTTGTCGTCTGGAAGTCTACCTTGCTGTCCTTCGGGGGGCATCTCACATTGCTAAACTCGGTACTCTCTGCACTTCCTACTTTTTTTATGTCCTTATTTTATATGCCAAATTCTGTGCTTGTTCAATTAGTCAAGATTCAAAGGGATTTTTTGTGGGGGGGTTCGGGGGAGAAAAGAAAGATCTTGTGGGTAAAATGGGAAGCTATTTGTTGGTGCAAGGAGCAAGGAGGATTAGGGGTCTCGGATCTGCGTTGGAGAAATTGGGCACTATTAGGGAAATGGTGGTATAGGTTAGGGGATGGAAGGGAGGGGTTGTGGAAAAGGGTAGTGAAAGAGAAATTTTACGAGGGTAAGCAAGAGGTGGGTATTATAGATGTGGTGAATTTAAGGGTGTCGCAGATTTGGGGAGACATTATTAGAATAGGTGGGAAATCAGAAAAGATAAAAAATATGTTAAGGCATGGGTTTTGGTGGGAGGTGGGGGAGGGATGTCAGGTATGCTTTTGGAGAGATATTTGGGTGGGGAATAAATCTCTACGTGATTTATTTCCAAGGCTTTTTCAATTAGCTATCAACAAGGAAGGTTCGGTAAAGGAGAATGGTACATGGGAAGGGGAAAGGTGGAAATGGGGCATAGAGTGGAGGAGAGAGAGGATGGGTCGCGAAAAAGATGAGGAGAAAGGGTTGGGGGTGATGTTGGTGGGTATAAAGTTAAGGAAGGGAGTGGCAAATTTATGGCAGTGGAGGTATGATGTAGAAGGGAGGTATGTAGTAAAGACAGCATATGAATTTTTAGCTCCTGAGGACCGCTTACTGGAGGGACAATTATGCAAAGTTATATGGTGTAAGATGGTGCCTTCAAAAGTGGGGTTTTTTGGGTGGAGGTTGTGTTTAGATAGACTTCCCACAAGATGGAATTTGCAGAAGAGAGGGGTGGTTTTACAAGGGGATGGTATGGTGTGTGGGCTTTGCAAAGAGGGTGTGGAGGATGTTAATCATTTGTTTTGCACATGTAAAGTAGCTTGGTTAGTATGGGTGAAGGTGTTTAAGTGGTGGGGTGTGGAAGTAGTAATGCTAGATACAATGAGGGGTATGGTGGATTTATTCCTGTGGTGTGTGGGTAGTGTTGGGGGTAAGGAGTTGGGAGCATGCCTTTTTTTGGTCACTTCTTGGTATTTATGGTTCTGGAGGAATATTTTGGTATTTAGGAGCAATGGGGAACTTAAAGAGCAATTGCTGGAGTTAATTAAAGTTAAGTCTTATTTCTGGATTAGAAATAAGGTAAATGGGTGTGTTTTCCCATTAGCTCAGTGGCAAAGTAATCCTAGGGAATGTGCAAAGGAGTTGAAGAGTTACAAGAGATCTCTCAAATTGTTCACTAAGCAACAGCCACATCATCTTCCCAATTAACGTGCATTGGCTGTATGGACCCCTATACGGAAGGATGTTCACGGGAGTGACAAACTGGAAGATTGTTTTTCTTTAGTTGATTTCTTAGGTTGTCAGCCTGTTTTGTGCGGGAGTTCCTTTTCTGATTTTGATGGGAGAATAAGCTTTTTCACTCTCTATAGAAGGGCAGGAGCACCCCTTGTGCTCCATTTAATAAAATTTTGTTTTGCTGATAAAAAAAATGTAATACCTAGATAATTCAAACATTTTGAATTTCAATCAATGCATATCTCATGCAATTCTACAACATTAAACTTCAATATCAAGAGTTCAAATCATTATCTAACTACTACTAAAACCTTTGAAATCACGAGAGTTTTGGTTGTTGATATGTATTAATTAATTATATCATTAGGTGAGTTTTTTTCCAGCATATAGCGTATGTCAAGTCCAGGATTGTTTTGAAAGTAAACAAAATACACGTGGTTGAATGTTCTCCGAGGATGAAAAATTAATTGCATAATCTTCTTTGAAGTGCCGCCCTGGGAATTGACAAGAGAGAGTCTCTCAGTGGAACAAGATAGTGAATGTTGAATTATTGCAGCTCAGGAAACCTGAAGTTTATGTGGCTTGTTAATGTCAATTGGTTTCTTGACTTGGGGCAAATCATACCTCAATGATTTTTCCAAATAATTACTGCCTTAGCCGTATGAAATGTGAACCATTGAGTTCAGATTCCAAATCATGAAATGTGATCATGGGGTCCATTGGGGTGGCTGATTCCCAGTGAAATCTTCCCCTTGGAGGTCCGTTCTGCTGCACAGAGCATCAATGTTTCCGTGAACATTATAAGATCTTTTGTAATTGCACCAAACCGGAAGTCCCTCTTCAGTCCGCACTTGCACTTCGGGATGACCTGCAAAGCCCCGAGGTGAAACTCGGGGTAGACACTCC